AAAATATTAGCCACTCTTCTCAGTGTATTTAAAGTCACGTGACCCCTTACCTTGGCATGGATATATTTATAAAGGTGTTTTGTGCCATGATGGTTATCTACATAAGTGGGAAGAAGGAGGGGGCTATACTGGTATGAAGCCCTTTTGTACTGGTGAGGTTCCAGCAGCGTCTGGGAGGCACCAATATAGCAGGGAAATAATCACAAGTTGTTTTTGGAGCTCACATCATAAGCTCTTCTGCTGTGCTGCTCATCTGTGGCAGGATCAGCTGACAAGCGCTGATCATTGAACTGGGTCGAACATTGGAAAGGTTTCTCTGATCCCAGACATCTGGGGTTGGACAACCTCATCCTCCCCTCTCCCCTCCTTCTGCTTTTAGGGCCACAAGATTGGTGAAGGGTTTAGAGGAGAAGCTGTACGAGGAGAGGCTGAAGTCGCTTGGTTTGTTCAGCCTGGAGAAGAGGAGACTGAGAGGAGATCTCATGGGGGTCTAGAACTTCCTTCCAAGGGGCAGAGGAGGGGCAGGCGCTGATCTCTTCTCTCTGGCCACCAACGAATGCCAGGAGCAGAGGGAATGGCAGGAAGATGTGGCAGGGGAGGGTGAGGTTGGCCATGAGGAAAAGGTTCTTGAGGCAGAGGGTGGTGGAGCACTGGAACAGGCTCCCCAGGGAGGTGCTCATGGCACCAAGCCTGACAAGATTCCAGAAGCATTTGGCCAAGGCCCTCGGACACATGGTCTGAATCTTGGGCTGGTCCTGTGCAGGGACAGGAGTTGGACTCCATGATCCTTGTGGGTCCCTTCCAACTCACAACATCCCATGGTTCTATGATTTCTATGATTAGCTGTGTACTTTCCCAAGTTCAATTCTGTGTTGTTGAGCTACCAGCTGGGATTGTCCCCCACTCTGCCTTTAATGTTGCTGGAGCCCTGGCTTGTTCTCCTTTCGCTGCTCTACTTTGGCATGTGCTGCCATCTGAGGTTTGCTTCCATATTCCCCACGTCATGAGGTGATGCTGATAAAGTGCAGCTACAGCTCATCCCATCCCAGAGATGCTCCTGGATGATCAGTGGGTCTGTGGCTTCTCAACCCAGGGAAAAAGCACCGTGCTGGTCCCAAACCTGTTCTGGGGTGTCCATCTGCTTTGGTGGCTTTGCACAGCAGCTGAGCCAGCTCCAAGGCTTGGGGAAGCAGCCCTGGTTTTTCCAGAGCACCATCTCCTCAGTGCACTGGGTCATTTAGGCTCCCTACAGCCATGAGGAGAGACAAGTATCTCTGGGAGCTGGTTCACTGCACGTGAGTTAGACACTTGCCTGAGATGAGAGGATTCCTGTGATGTCCATCTGTCCATAGTCACTCTAGAGAGAGTTTAAATCATGAATTCAGACTAGACATCCTTAGCTGTTCCCAGTCCAGCAGTGCTGGGATGCTCTCCTCATCATGGCTTGTGACAATACTCACACACATGTGATCTCCTGCCTTGTGTTTCCACCATTTTTTGCTATCAGGTCGATACAGCAGCATCCATCCCAAGCCCTGTCATCAAAATAGATGTGGATGGCATTTATGGCCCAGGCTGGACATGCAGGCTGTGCTCTCTGCGTTAACCTTGACCTCAAATGTTCTGTCAACCTCCCTGGCTCCTGAACACCAGTGCATTCAGCTCAGATAAGGGTGGTTCATCCCTAAACAAGTTTCTACCACAGCCTGGTGGGACAGAGGGTTGACCTAGTGGACCCAAACCCTCCTGAGAAGCTCTGCACCATGGGGAGACTCACAAAGTACTAATGGGAAGACCCAGGAGTGATCTCAGAGCCACCATGCACCTCTCCTAAACCCTCCTGGGGCTTGGTGTGAAACACCAGCAGTGCTTGATGCAGCTCAGATCCACAAACTTCAGATCCTCTCACCCACTAAGTATTTGGTGTTCAGATTATTTTTCTTCTTCCATTTTAGGTTATAAATACCCAGTCTGGATCTCAAGCACAGGATTTTTTTCTCACTTGTGTGTTTCCTCTTTCCTCATTTCTGGTTTTCATTTGTTCACACTGGTTGGTTGTTGCCATTTCATAATTTATTTATTCATAGGGAAGTCAACGGGATGTTTTGGAGGCTTGAGCTGAGTCTTGCTGCACTGGTGAGCCAAGGCCACATCTGATTCCTACAGGAGACTTTTTTTTGGTGATAGCAGTGGAATTTGAGCCAATCATCAATTCTGAGCCCTCTGCAGCCATTATCTCATGTGGAGGCTTTGATCACAGCAGATTTGTCCCATCTGGCTTCCACTTTCTGGGTCAAATGTGTCACCACTAAGGTAAGTTATGACCTTGTCAGGCTGAAGAAGAAAGTGTCCAGCATAGGACTATTAATTGGGATTTGTAGTTGCAATAAAGAATTGGTTTTGGCTTTTCAGGTGAGTTTTACTAATGAGCAGGTGATAACCACATCAGACAAGATGCTCTTCTCCAGGAGAGAGATGAACAGTTGATCCATATATCAAACCAAAGTTGATATCTTGTTCCATAGAGGCATATGTTGAGGCTGGTGGTCTCCTGCACAAGGCTGAGCAGTGGGATGTGGTTGTGATAGCACCACTTGAGTGCTTCTGGTCCACCAAACCTCCTAGGCTTCTAACAGCAGCGATAGCCAAGGGGATTACTTCAGGCAAAGCGGGGCAAAGCCCAAGTTCTCCTGTGAACTGTCCCTCTAAAAAATCGCTCACTCAGTGTCTAAGATTAGCTCCTTCTGGCAGCTCCAGCAGATGCAGCTGCTGGGTAAATTTAGATCCTTAGTGAATGGGTTATTTTCTCTCCTGGAGTATCCAAGTCAGGTGGACAGTGCAGAGTCACTGGGCTTTGCCATGTGAGTCACCCACGTCAACACCGGGAGGTGGATGACACTGTTTGTCCTCCTGGGCAACAAGGACCTGAGCTGAGCCACCCACAGAAGCAGAGTCTTTGGTCTTGGCAGCTCAGGGTGGCTTCGGCTGTGCAAGGACACCCGTATGGGACAGAAGAGCTGAGTTTCATGCTAGGAGGAAGCACATAATCTCATAGCTATTTTGGTAGTAAAGAGTAAATCTGAGATAATGGACAGGCCAAGAAACATCTACCAAAGCTTCAGTAGCAGACCTGTGTTAAAAAGGGACATGCCTGGCAGTGGAAGGGGTATTGGAGATGTGACTAGAGATACCACCAAGGCACAATACCTGCCCTTACTTCCAATGCTTTGGGTTGGGCCCCCAGAAATAAAACCAACATGGCTTCTAACTCAAAAACTACATGGATGACAGTTTGATGACTTGTGATATTTCACCAGGACGATGGTGGAATCAAAACAAAGGTGAATATGAATCAAGGTGCAGCCAAACCTCCAATATGGTCGTGCCTCTAAGGTGGGTTTCTATCAAACTCAACAATGTCTTGTGTCACAGTTAGAGGTGGGAGGTGAGGACCTGCAAACAGATCCTTGTGTCTCTCAACTCTGATAATAGGGCATTGCTCAGGGTGTCACCTGCTTCACAGTGATGAGCAGCAGCCACCATAGACGTTCAACATTTATTTACTACAGAAATAAATGACATTTATCAGGGACTTCTTCACAAATTACTTTGGCAGAGCTGAAAGCTGGCTAAGAACTGATCCCGTTTCATCCACAGGAAAGCCAAGAACACACCAGCACCAAGCATCTCAACCCATGTTGCAAAGTGGTCCAGATTCTGCCCTCACCAAACTTTGACACAACTAGACATAAGGCCTCTGAAAGTTACTCTAAAGTGCAAGAAATCCAGAGCTATTCTTCAGTTATAAGCCCACTTCCCCAAGGCACCAGGTTTCACATATAAACATTTATTCAACGCACTCCCTATGCAGTGTCCCAAAATCTCCTTCTCCAAGAAGTCTTCCAAGCCTCCAAGGAGGCTTCTTCTCCACCACCCAGCTCCAAATCACTGTCCTTCATCCAAGGACTTTTTACTTTGGTTGTATGTACGTTTGTGCTCATTCAGCCGTGCAGTCATGGGTTTAGGCTACGTGCACCAAAGTCAGTTGAGTAAAGGGTTGGCTGCAGCATCTTCTGTTCCTCAGCCATGGGGAGGAGTGTGAGCGTAAACTTTTGTCCCTGGTGTGCAAAACACATGAGCTGGATTTAGTTTGAGTCTGAGGACATGTATCACAGCAGGATGGTCATGGTGGCCATATCAGTTTTCAGACCCAGCAGTGGACAGCCCTTTGGATGGGAGTTGGGGTCTGAGGACGGAGTAGTTTCTTCAGCATGCCTGCTCCTCTGGCAACTTGCACATGATGTGCTTTGGCTGTGAAGTGTTTCCTGAGCTCTCATTAACTATGCCTGATGTTGTCACTAAATCATTTTTTTTTTCCCCAAGACATTTAGCACTGAAGGGACCTCTTTTGCAGAGAGTTGAAGATCAGAACAGCTATCGCTCTGCACCGCTGACAGTGGTGGGGAGATAATTACCCTTCAATTTGCTGTTCTTAGTCCTCCTTCCCTTTGCTGTAAAGACTGTACTATTGATTTATTAGCCTCTTGGTAGCTATAGATCATGCAGAACCATTTCACAGTCTTTGCTGCACAACCATAGATGCCAAACTCTTGACAGCAGATGATGACTATTTCTTGTAGCAAAGAAACATGGGGTGCTTGGGCTGGAAGCAACCTGGGAATGGTCTGCTCAGAGCAGGCTCAGCACCAGCTAATCCCTTTCTCATAGCTGTGTGTCTGGCCTACCCTAAAAACTTCAGCTGTGGGACTTGGAGAGTCTTCTCTGTGAGACATGGGCTACTACAGGTCCTGTGGGAGAGCTGAATGCTGGTGGGACATGTGGTATGAGAAGCAGGGGGTGAAATCTCTAGGCCTGCACAATGCCAGGGGGTCAGAAAAATGAAGGGGATGGCTCTTTCTGGCATTAAAGAAATGTCCTGAGAGCCTACCTCAGCCATCTGCCACACATGAGGAGCCTGTGAAACACCCACTGTGTCTTATAGAAAATCTTTCCTGAAGCAAGAGGGTGACCTGTGCCTTCCAGGTGACTTCTACATGGATGAGCTACAGCAGTCCGAGTGCCAGGAGTGCTTGGAGAGCCCTTGCCAGTGGCTGGCCCAGCAGTGGTGGCTGGAGGGGAGATGAAGCTTTGGGACAAGCTGGTTGATGCCTCCCTCTACTCCACCTTTGCTTTGTCACACTTCTCCTCCTCGATAGCCAGGATGCGCTCACGCTCTTTGATCAGCTGCACTCCACAGTATGTGATGAACCAGATGGACAAAGTGCTGACAGGGAAACCTAGAAGATGGAGGGAGACATGATCATCTTGGTGTAGCTGCTTGCCTAATGAGGCCAGTTATTCTCAAGCACTGCTGCTTCTTGAGTGGGTTTGGGAGGTCCCACAAGTTCATGATGGCCAACAACATTTTCCATTGTGGATCCAGCCCTACAGCTTCACTGAAAGGTGAGAAATCCCCAGGATCAGATTTTAGATGAAGCTTTCCCTGAGCCCACCAAGGCATCATGGACCATGGTTAATGTGGGAACATGTCAGAGTGGCTTTGAGCACACCCTTACCCTCAATCCTCCTTCTGCCCCCCAAGTGCAGACTCAGTGGTTGACTTTCTGCCCATTCAACCTGCCTGTGTCCATCACTGTTCAGCACTGTGACCTTCTGAAAGCTTTGGGTCCTGCTGATGCTGAGGATCAACCCCAGCTTTGTCCTGTACCTAGTGAGGACACAGTGTGTGCCCAGGGAGACACGTTTTTGTCCTCTAGGTAAGCGACTGGGAGTTGGGAGCTCTCCCTCCACTTAAGAAGGGTCTGATGACATTTGTAACCATGAGTCTGGTATCCACAGCAGAGAGGGGAGACAGGCTTTGGACCTGCTAAAACAAGACCTCTGAAATGGATAATGACACCACAAAAAGCTAGCCAGCTCAGTGAGCAGGAACTTCTGGCACACTGAGCCCAGACTGTCACATTATCCATTTCCTACGCCAGTGCCACCCCAGAGAGGGGGATGGGACAGGCTCCCGATGACTATTTATACCCTGGGCTGCTCAAGAAGACTCCAAAATAGTGCCACCATCCACTGATTAGAAACATACAGAGAGGACTACACCATGAGGATTTGTACCTGCCACCTTCAGGTTGATGCAGGAGTAACTGCTAAAGCAAAAGGAGATGAGGTAGGACAAGTACATCCCTTTCTCCAGCAAGGGGACCATTTCTCAGCCCACCTTGGTGGGACAAATGTGACCTTTGCGTTACTACAAGGAGTCTAAATCACTGTATCAGGCTGTGCTAGGAGCTGTGCAAGCACACCTGGAAGGCAGCTCATACCCCAGACAGCTCACAGGAGAAGGGCGGGAGCTAAGAAACAGCTTCCTGCACCCTTGGAACAATAATTAAGCACATTGGCAGCAGCCATGTAACAAGCCAACAGCCAGGCCACCAAGAGGACTTAGAAGTCTCAGTCTTCAGCTTCCCTACCAGTGTCACCTCATCAAGACCAGAGATGGGGAAGGCTGATAGCATCTTACCAATCAGAAGGAGTCTCCTGGTGACCAGCAATGCAAACTCCAGGCTGTTGAGGGCAAGGATGTTGTAGAGGACGATGGCCCAGAAATTTACTGCACCAAAAGCTGCCCTAATCCGCCGAGACATGGCCGCTGACATTTTGGACTGTGGAGAGAAGAGGAGCAAAGGGTGAGGGAAAAAGAAGGTGTAAGGAAAGGGGATGGACTGGTCCAACTCCAGCCAAACTCCAGCTGGGATTGCAGAAGGGTAGGCAAAAATTAGGGCAGCCTTTAGTGTCTCTGGGATGAAGAAATGTAAAGACAAGGTAAAACTTCTGCTCTGCTGCTGGACTCAGATGCATCTGGGGCCCTGAGCTGGAGTTCCAACATCCAATGGGTAGGGGAAAGATGCTACACACGGTTTCATGATAATTGTCATGGCCGAGTACTGCTTTCTTCATAGAATCACAGAATGTTGTGAGTTGGAAGGGACCCACAAGGATCATCAAGTCCAACTCCTGTCCCTGCACAGGACAATCTCAAGATTCAGCCCATGTCCCTGAGGGCCTTGGCCAAATGCTGCTGGAATCTTGTCAGGCTTGGTGCCATCAGCACCTCCCTGGGGAGCCTGTGCCAGTGCTCCACCCCCCTCTGCCTCAAGAACCTTTTCCTCATGGCCAACCTCACCCTCCCCTGCCACATCTTCCTGTCATTTCCTCTGGTACTGGTGTTGATGGCCAGAGAGATCAGCACCTGCCCCTCCTCTTCCCCTTGGGAGGAAGTTCTAGACCCCCATGAGATCTCCTCTCAGTCTCCTCTTCTCCAGGCTGAACAAATCAAGTGACTTCAGCCTCTCCTCATATGGCTTTCCCTCTAAACCCTTCCCCAATCTTGTGGTCCTGTTGGCTTGGGTAAGCCGTTCCTCAAGGAAGATGAATGATGTTGTACACCAGGATTATTATTAGTCCTGTGTGCAAGTCACTCCCAGCTCCAAGTAGAATTTGTTTCTTAGGAATAAAAGAAATAATAATAATAATAATAATAAAAAAAGAGCTGAAAACTGGTGACAGCAGCAGAGTGAAATTGTCACTGGCACATAATCCTCAGGAGCAGCTGCTGCGAGTGGAGCGGGGAAGTGGTTTATAGTGATCTTCAAAGAGCACGATGAATCCCCAGGCCGCTTAGTCCTGAGAATTGTGGTGCCGCAGGGAAGGAGATTTCACTGCCTGCGAGTGCTGTAATCTGATTAGAAGTTCAATGAGGAGGATTGCTCTCCAAAATTTTTATTAAAAAAAAAAAAGTCTTTACCAAGGTTTAGGACCTCCAGACTTTAGGTTGGGTAAAATAAGCAACAGAATTATTTCCAGGATGGAGTTTCTTAAGTTTTTCTTCCAACATGTCCCCAAAACACTTTGGTCCCAAACAGAGATGGGGGCACTAAGCTTTGGGGTGGCTGGAAAATAATTCATTCTCGTACCTAAACATTTGCTTTTCTCCGAAATCAGATCAAAACCACTCAGAACACCAAGATGTTTTTCAGAACGAGAACTAATGATTTCCATATGGAAATGTAGAAGAATTTCCCCATGGACAGACCTCAGATTTTAGGTCTCTTTGTGGTACTTTGATGCCTCTTTGGTGCTGCATTCCTGATTTCTCTTGGAACTCTGTTTTCCCTCTGAAAGCTTCACACCCAACCTAAATTCCCCATGAAGGGAAGGTGGGAATCGGCTCTGTGTGGATGACACAGCACGTGACATGAAAGGATACAGAGCACCAGGACTGTGATTCCCTTGCACAGCTGAGTAGCTGGTCACAGGGATGCTAAAGCCCATAGGAGAGACCTTAAGATCTCCATGCAGGACGCTTGGACACGGAGCTGCATGTCAGTCTCAGCTGAAAATGGATCTGATTTGTATAAAGAAGTTTGAGTTCCCTACAATCATGGACATTTTCCAGCAGCAGTTTGCCCCCAGACCCATTGACCTTCCCCTGTCCACTTACAGACCTTCTCCTTACCTCCAGTTTGGCAAAGGGCCCCTGCTGGAAGAACTTCTGCACCCAGAGCTCAAAGTTAAGACCAAAGCAGTTGAAGATGGACCAGATGTAAACGATCTCACAGGGCCCCAGCCACAGGGTGGTGACGGCAAAGGTGGCGATTGTGGCCATGAGCTCCTTCATGATGTTGTCATGGTTCTCTCCAATGTGGTCATACACGTACCTAACAGCCAAGGAAAGTGGTCAGTGCTGCCCATAGTCAAGTAAAGCCCTCTGGAGTCCCACACCCACCCACCAGGAAGGATGTTTTGGCTGACATGTTCTAGCAATAAACTGATTTTTGGTACAGTCCAGCTACACGTGGCTTGCTTTCCTCACAAACCTATAGCTCCAGAAGGACAAAATGCCACCCTTTCCCCCTATGGCAAGTAAAGGGTTGATAAAATGGGGGGATCTGTAGAGCTGCAGGCCATCTCATGCTTGCTGGTGCACAGGATTTCAGCACAGAGGAGCCACCACCTTCAGTAGAGGTTTGTTGGTAAGTACTTATGGCTGAATAAAGCTGAAAGCCTGGGGGAGACGTAGATGGAGCTCAGGCCACCCTTGTAACCTAGGATATGGGAGACCTGGGCTCAATTCCCCTTTCCTCCTGGTGGAATATGAACATGACTATTCCTTCCTTGAGGGAATGCTAAACCCACCAGACTTAAAGGGTTTTCTAGGGCAGGACTCTTATTCCCAACTTTAGAAGGTTCTGTTGCACTTTGTGGTGATTAATTCAATGGTCTTAGGGATAAACAGATCAACTATGACTTCATGCCACAGTGGCATTCACCCAGAAGAGAGGACACCTCATCTTTGGGATGAACAGCATTTAATGCTTCATTGCTATGTGATGAAAGAGAAGACCCTGAACCAAACTCGAGATGGTTGATTAGACACTTACTTGCACAGCCAGTCATTAATCCCTCTGTCAAAATGCCTAAAAAAATGCAGATGATTAAAAACATGTTGAAGGACACAGTGCAGTGACACCCTTCCACACAGCAGTCAGCCAGAGAAGACACATGGTCCCTGGGTCAGGCATTTCTTGAACCTTATTCACAGCAGTTCTCCATGCTCCTTCCTTGAACAGGTCCCACTACTACTGATGTGGTTTTAACCTAAGCACTGGAACAGGTTGCCCAGAGAAGTTGTGGTTGCCCCATCTCTGGAAGTGTTCTTGGCCAGGTTGGATGAGGCTTTGAGCAACGTGGTCTAGTGGAAGGTGTCCCTGCTGATGGCAGGGGGGTTGGAACTGGATGAGCTTGAAGGTCCTTTCCAACCCAAACCATTCCATGATTCCTGCCCAAGAATAATTCCCCAGACTATGGCCAGGTCTAGACTATAGGTTCAGTATAGACTGTTCAATGTGGTCTCCAACTGACAGGTCAGCTGCTCAGAATCACAGTGCAGACCTCCTCCCCACCACACACATTTCATTCAGGTCAAACATGCTGTCTCTCTTCATCAATGCATGTGGGTTACTCACGTTTCTGCGAAGACGTAGAGCATGGTGATGCATTTTGGGGGCTGGGGTGGGTCCAAGTGGTCCAGTCTAGCAATAGTGTTGATGACTCCAAACATGACAGCAGCTTTCACCCAGTCGTACACCAAATTGGAGTAGGCCAAGCCAGCTGGAGTAAAAATGAAAGTCAAACACACGAAGAAGAGCATGGGGTGTACCATTTTCAGGACTTCGGGTAACATCAAAGTTGTGGATGCCCCCTCCCTGGAAATGTTTAAGGCCAGGCTGGATGAGGCTTTGAGCAACGTGGTCTAGTGGAAGGTGTCCCTGCTGATGGCAGGGGGGTTGGAACTGGATGATCTTTAAGGTCCCTTCCAACCCAAACCATTCTATGATTCCATGATCATGTCCCGTGGGAGCACACAGTCTATTGCAACAAACATAACTCCAAGAGGACAGTCCAATGCTGTCTTGGGCCAGCGATGCTTTTAAAACTAAGTAGCTTTTTAAGAAGCTTGAACCAAAGGACAATATCTTCTGGGGATATTTGGGAGCAAACTGTTTATTGGTCTTGATAGTCCAAGAAGCTCATATAGATCTCATTTATTCCAGTACAAGATCTTTCCTCCTCTCTAAGGCTTGTTAACCTATGACAAACTCATCACAGTTCTCGACTCTGACCTCTGAAGTTTTATTGACACCTCCATCAAAATGTCCCCTACCCCAGCTCCTTGTGGCCATAGATGTAATGTTGATGCTACGGCAGAGCCAGGGCCAGAACCTCTGTCTTGGAGTTAAGTTTGACACTGGAAGATGATCCCTACAGGAACAAACACTAAAGATTTCAAACTCCTATCCAAACAGAAGCTAAAATGACCCCACCTTGATAGGTCTCAGCTCAGAGGTGAAGTGCCACACAGTGCCTCAACGTGAACCGTGCCTGAGCTCCCACCATGGACAAGGCAGGTCAAGAACAGTTAGCAGAGCCTGCAGAGGAGCTCAGCTTCCTCTGGAGCAACACATATGCTTGGTCAGTCCACCCAGGTCCCTTAGGACACCCTAAATCAATGCTAGTGTCATTCTAGCTGCATTAGGATTTTCTCCTGGCTTCCAGCTGCCACTCTGGAGAGACATGAGGCTTCTCCAGTCCCTGTTTGTCCTGTGCCAGTCCTGTGTGTATGTCAGACACCCTATAGCATCCCAAATGCCACCATCAGATATGTATTTGACCAGCTGAAATCCTCCATCCAGCTGCCAGATGAATGCCAGCGCTGACACCACTACTCATCCCAGGAGTCTGGCTTCTGGAGGTCCCTACTCCAGCCCTGCTCAAAGCTCAGTCACTGTTGAATGGAGATCAGGTTGCTCTGGACCTTGTCCATTTAAGCATTGAATATCTCTGGGTTTGGAGAATCTATAACTCCTCTGGTCCCGTCCCTTCCAGTTTGACCATCCTTACATGCATCCTTACATGCAATGAGAATCTGTCCTGCTGCACTTTGTTCATTGTGTCCTGTTTCTTCCCTCCCAGCCTCTAAGAAGAAGCCACCTTCTCTCCAACCCTTCTTTAGGTAGTTGAAGACAGCAGCTACAACTCCCCTAAGCTGCTCTTTGTACAACCTATACCCTGTGGCCATTTCAGTGGCTCACAAACACCCATAATGGGTGGCCACCTGTGAAGGCATCTGAGATACCAGATGTGCCTCTTGCAACAGCATGGGGCTGATTTTTTGGAGGTTCTGAGCTCCCTTCCAGTCCAGACAAAGGCAATGGGAATGATTTGGTGCTCAGCCTTTTAAACCCCAAGCAAAACAATTTATTCCAGCACCCAATGCCATCTGACAGACCTCAGCTCTCTGCACTGTCAATGAGAAGAAGGGGGCTTTACTCAAACCTGTCCTACACAGTCATTGATGAGGCATCTCAATGGAGATGGATGGAGATCTGAATCACTCACCACTGCCTTGAAGCTGAGTACAGGTGTGAGCATGTCCAAGCATGGCCACTCACCCAAGGACCAGTCCGAGAGGCGGTTCACGAACTTCAAATCAGAAGGGAGGGTGAGGATGTAGAAGAAGTGGAAGAAGATGTCCACAGCAATGATGGCCCCCACATGGAGGAGGGCATGGACCCGGATGTTCTTCATCTCATCGTCTTTGCGTCTCAGCTCTCGGGTGCTTACCTGTTGGGATGGTAAACCAGGTAAGGGCTGAGCTGAGAGGTAGGATGGCCAGCACATTCCTCCATCTGCAGGACCATTCAAGGTCCAAATTCAGTGCTGTCCTTTAGAAATCACACCATGGGCTACATGCCCTAAATCTCCATGGATTCAGGAAGACTCAAGGGACTAACTCAGGTGAACACATCCTCAAGGAGCAGGACGTGTCCCACCCACAATATCCCTCCAACACCTTCTCCTCAGTGCTGAGCATGGCAGCAATGTGCCTCCTGCAAAGGCTGCTCCCATCACTGGGGTTTCCAGCAGAGCAGGTGCATAGTGTGAGACCCTAGGTGGGGTGAAAACCAGACCAACCAGGGAGCTGGGGTTTATGCTCTTTCTGCAGGGACATGCTCAGAAGTCAACTTTGCTTAAAGGTGGCCCCTTTCACAGGTCACCAAAAGGGAGCAAATGCCCACACCCATCACATTTATAGGATGCCACCGCCTGTAGGCAAGGACATCTGCATGGCCAGGAGAGGTTGGGAGCAGGGCTGGAATCCCACCTGCCAGCTCTGCCAGGTCCAGATGCATATTTTTGGCCAGGATCATTTGGGAGAATCATAGAATCACAGAATGGTTCGGGTT